TTGTGGTATTTTTACATTTAATTTTAATAGATAATTCTAGTTTTTCATCTCCCCCAGCAATCTAGAAGAGTTCCGGGAGTTCCATCATCAACAGCAGTTAGTAGGTAGTGTCAGTGTTTTTAACAGTGGGTGTGGAGTATCTCATCATGGCTTTTATTTATATATATATGAGCATTTCTGAAGATGAATGGCTTTTCATATGTTTATTGAAATTTTTTTGACATATCTGCACAAATTGCATATTTGTAATTAACCCATCCTTGTTTCTTATTAATTTATATTAATTAATTTAAGATACAAGTCTTTTGTTAGTGACATGTCTTTTTTTTTTGAGACAGAATCTCACTCTGTTGCCCTGGCTACAGTGCTGTGGCATCTGCCAAGCTCACAGCAACCTCAGACTCCTGGGCTCAAGCAATCCTCCTGCCTCAGCCTCCCAAGTAGCTGGGACTATAGGCATGCGACACCATACCCGGCTAATTTTTTCTATATGTATTTTTAGTTGGCCAATTAATTTCTTTCTATTTTTAGTAGAGACAGAGTCTCACTTTTGCTCAGGCTGGTTTCAAACTCCTGACCTTGAGCGATCCTCCCACCTCAGTCTCCCAGAGTGCTAGGATTATAGGCGTGAGCTACCGCACCCTGCCAGTGGCATGTCTTGAAAATATTTTTTCTCACTCGGTGATCTGCTTTTTTGTCTTAATGTTTTTATTAAGGTATAATTGATATATGATAAGCTGCAAAATTTTAAAGCATACAATTCAACATGTGTATACACTGGTGCAACTATTATTCCTATCAAGATTCTCCTTGACCCTTTGCATTCTCTCTCTGTTGCCTTTTTCAGTAACTGTATTTTTTTCTTTTGAGCTACCTTCCGATGTATTAATTTGTGTTAATGGAGTTTGATCTGCTGCTATTAAAGGATCTCCAACCATGGCACTATTGACATTTTAGGCTGGATAATCCTTTGTTGTGGAGAGCTTCTTGTGCTTTGTAGTATGTGCAATGTTATCCTTGGCCTCTACCCCCCAAAATGTCAGTAGCACCTTCCAATTGGTAAAACCAAAAATTTCTCCAAACAATGCCAAATGTCCCTGGGAGAGGGGAGGGGCAAAATTATTCCTGGTTGAGAAACACAAAACATATACACTGAATTTATAACTTTAGCCATGTTTTTATGTCCTAGAATGTCCATGCAGTTCTCTTTTTTACAGTTTCCAATTCTCTACTCATACTTTTATTTCTATTTCATTAATATTAATATATAATGAGTTATAAAATGTATGTCTGAAAACCCTAAATTTGAGATCTCCAATGGTTGTCTATTTTATCTTGTTCTGTAGTAAAACCTTAACCTATTTACCTGTGTGTGTATCTATCATTTCTTATGGGAGATAGATGTTTTTATGCAACCTAGTACTGAGGTAACTAAGGCTGAGCTGCAGTCCTTATGAGGGCAGGTTTATTTCACATTTACCCTTACTTCAACAATACAACTTTCCAAGGTATCCATAAAAAAAAGTATGATCTTTACCAGGGACTCTCTTCTTGGTGCGTCCTGAGCTTCAAGCTTTGATTTCCTTGTCTATGGTGCTGGCCCATCTGTGCTCAGCTTTTCAGCCTTGTAGCCTGTGCTTTCAGAGTATACCATTCTCTCATGGGGAAAAGAAGCACCCAATGCAGGCTCACCTCTTTTGGCCTTCCTGCTCTTTTAGATTTTGGTCCTGTAATTCCTGACTGCCTTCTGGGCTTTGTCTGTGTGCCTTCAACCAGATGTTTCCATGGGTTTTATAGCTTTTCCAGTTGTTCTCGGAGGGATGGTTGTTTCAAAGCAACCTATACAGCCATTGCTGGAAACATATCTGTTATGTTTTCTTTATTAAAAATCTTATCTGTGGAAAGCTGGAATGCTTTAGGGCTTGAGAATGGATCTATTTTTTTTCTTCTTTACTTTTCTCCCTTAGGCAATCAGTTTTAGTTTATAGCCTTAGTTTTGTTTTTTGGTTTATCCTTTGGTTTTGTGTTTCTAAAAGTGTTACATGATAATGGCAGCAAGACAAGAGTTCAAACACAGAACTCAAAAAAAGAAGAAAAAAGCTAAAAATTTTCCCCCAAATTTACACCTTCCCAGTTCCACTGAAATATACAATGTTAAAAGGTTGGTCTATGATGTTTAACTTCTCCTCCTATTCATATGCACTTGTACAAACACGTGCCCCAAGCACAGAATTCACAATTACAGAGAATTTTGTAGTTTCTCATTTTGACAAAAGTCGTCTTATATAAATGTGTTAGTATCTATTTAAATTTTCTTCTCTTTATAAAAATATATCATGTATTGAGAACACCTGACCAGGCCATTGCATGACGGTCTAGCTCATTGTTTTTAAGATCTGCATAGTGTTACATAGGGTAGCCACATCATACATTTTTCAATTACTTTCCTATTGAAGGACAATTAGTTTATGTCCAAGTTTTTGTCATAATAATGTTGTTTTTATTTATGTATCTGTATGTGTGTGTTTGCATATATAGACATATATGTTTGTGTATATGTATAAAAAAACTGACCACAATAGAATTACTGGGTCAAAAGATTTGTATTTATTATTTATAATGCATATTGCTCCATCACTTTCCAAAATGTTTGTATCCGTTAACATGACCATCATCATTATTTGTGGATCCCCAAAGTATCAGTTGTTCAGGACATTTTTGAGTTTTTAAAATGTCAGACACTCAGAGAATGAAAATGCTATTTAGTTAGCACTTCTCTGACCAATGGAAGTCCACTAGAAACTGAATGTGCATGAGTGAGTGTGTGTGTGTGTGTGTGTGTGTTTCTCCCCTAATGGCAATACAAAGCCAAAAATACCAACTCTAAAGTGCCAAGAAAATGGCAACATAATTTCAGTGTAAATCTAGAGAGATCATTAGAATGTCAAAATGAAAATTTTAAAAGTCAATACATGCTGAATCCACTGACATCTGAGCCTGACTCATATTGTCAAGTTGAAGGAACATGAGAGACTGCCAGGGAGGTTTGAGCAGGCAATATAGGAGGTACAAAGATTTCCCCACATGAGCTACATTAAAAATCATGAGATTAAGATGAAATTAAATGTACACGCTTTCTCTCCATTAGGGATTTATTCAGTGTAATATTCTAATTCTAAACTTTTCATCTGTCACTCATCTGAAATGAGCAATATTCTTAGACTGAAATTTATTTTGTTATTACAGGAAACTCTAAGGGGGTTTTACCTGGTCTTACTCATGCTGGGCATGTAAACTTTTTCTCTAGTATCCAAATAGCATTCACCCAAAGTAGACATCTAATTATAATAATGCCTAAAGTATCACTTAACTCAGGACTGTTATTTTTGGAAATGACTGAGTCCACATTCTGTAACGAGAATGTATTCTTTACTATAAACACTAATGTATAAGCATATGCTTACATACTTACATGAATTATATAGAGAAGTTTTACATTAGCTTATTCATTTTCATCAAGTAAATCCTGATGCTGTTTGCAAGTGTAGCTCAGGGAATAGCCTCTGCTAGGCAGGTCTGTAGGTCTGTATTTTCTTTTGCTGTTCTTCTCTGCTAATTTGTTCTATTAGAATGGCTAGATTTAGCTTTATCACCTTTATTTTTATCTGAAGTGTTTCTTTTAAATTTAAAATTATTGATTATCCCTCTTCTCTAAATATTTTAAAACTCTCTTTCTCAACTGGAGCCTTGATGTCAGCATTTAAAATATCTTAAATCTCTAAATAAAATAACCTCCAAAACCACATCTGCCTCTAACTCCTGCTCTCTCCTACTTTCCTTCAATAATGAGGTTCTCAAAAGTGGTCTCTCTCCTTCCGCTTCCTCCCCTTCTATTCATTCCTTAGCCCACTCCTGTCTAGATTTAACCACCCTCCATAATCCTTGAAACAATTCATACTCAGGTCACCAACAACCCCTAGCAGTACCCGATAGCCCAGAGGATACTATTCACCAATCTTTTTTTTCTTTTAATAAATGACCATTTTCTTCACTATAATGACACCGTACTCCCAATTCTTTATTCCAATACTCTGGCCATTCCTCCCCATGTGCACGTTCATTCTCCTGGAGCTATTGTTATCTCTCAGCAGGTGCACCGGAAGGCATTCCTCATGGTGTCCCTCCTATTCACTCCTACATCATGCCTGTCTCATTACACATTGTAGCCAGAATCATATTTCCACAATGAAAACCTGATTATGTTATTCCCCCTTGAAAGAGTTTCAGTGGCTTCACATTTTGAGGAGGGAATGAAGACCAAGTCCTCTACCTGTCCCACAAGACCTGAAAAAGGGTCAACCTCTGGCCCCCTCTCCAGCCTCATCTTGTTCCACACTCTGCATCTTGACCGCTCACGTGCTATGCTCCCTCCACCACAGATTTTGGCAGAAGGACTCTGCCTGTAATGCTTTTCCATCCTGCATAACTCTTGCTAGTGCCTACTGACTCTTCATATCTCCGTTTCATCATGGTCCCCCATCATGGTCATCCATGTTCTCCCCAGGAACCTTGCCTGACCCCCAGATTAGGTTACAAGCTTTCTGTGCAGTCTCTTAGCAACATGGATCTTTCCTTTGTGCCATTAATCACAGTAAGAAGTTACACATTAATTTGTTTGAATTTTTTTGTTTCCTGTGTATGAACTGGCAGCATCATGAGGACAGAATCCATGCCAGATTGTACTCAGGAATGGTTCCTTGCATAGTGAGCTACTGAAGCACAAAACCTTCTTCAACTCATTTTCAGTGAAGACTTGTTTCTCCTAATACACTCAAAAATCTATCTACAGGTGTCCAGTGCTTCATCTTTCTGTCTAGGCTTTCTTTTCTTTCTATTTCTCTCAGAAATTTACTCAGGTATATATCAACGATACCTTCCATGTGGGGTGTGTAGATTGCATTAATGGCCCCAATTTCTCATGTCTACCTGTACCTACTCACTTTTTTAATGTGATTTTGGTAGTTCCTCCCATTAGAAAGCCAGAGTAACTTTTCCCACCTTGAATTTTGGGTTCAGCAATAGGACTTGCTTTGGCCTTCATAAGCACTGTTACAGTTGGGCTTACTCTTTTGCACCAGTGGAATCACCATGGCAATAGCATGCTCAGAATGGCTACTGCTCCTAAGAACAGAATGAGAGACACCTGGGACAGAACTACCTGCAGGTGAACCCAGCTGGATCAGCCAACCCCTGGAAGACCTACCGACATATAATCTAAATAAATGCTCATAACGTGGGTCTGCGATTGTTGTAGTTTTTTGTTACCCAACATTCTTCTGCCTACAGTTAAATGATACAATATATTGGAAAGATTAAATGAGATAAGGATGTAAAACACTGGATGCAGAGCCTACTATTTTTTTTTCATTTCCCACCAGAAGAGGTGGTATGAAAACAGCACACTATTTGTAGCTTTGTGCTTTCATAGATTTAGACAACGGCCAGCTGAAACTTCGATATGTCTTGGGTAGGATAAGACAGAAAGCTAGTTCCAGTCAGTTTTTCAGAGCCAAAGGCAGCCAATTGTGATGGTATAGGCAGAAGTTACTATTTATTGAGCACTAGTTCCTTCTGGAGTTTCATGGATCTTTTTTATGATATCTTTGTTTACTCTTTCATTTCTTTTCTTTTCTTTATTGCTTTCCTCTTCTTTCTTTGGGTTCACATGAGTTTTTGTTTGTTTGCTTGCTTTGTTTTATTTATTTATTTATTTTTCTACATCTTGACTTGAAGTATTCCATTTATAATTTTAATTTTTCTTCTTTTCTTGTGTGAAGATATATGGCTACAAATCCTATCTACCTGTGCCCTCCCACCACAAGGATGGCTTTCATTGCATTTCTCAATTTTTTTATTTTTATTTTTTATGAAACAGAGCCTCACTCTGTTGCCTGGCTAGAGTGCTATGGTGTCAGCCTAGCTCGCTGCAACCTCAAACTCCTGGTCTCAAGTGATCCTCTTGCCTTAGCCTCCTGAGTAGCTGGGACTACAAGCATGAGCCACCATCCCCGGCTAATATTTTTCCTTTTTATTTTTAGTTGTCTAGCTAATTTATTTTTATTTTTTAGTAGAGATGAGATCTTGCTCTTGTTCAGGCTGGTCTCCAACTCCTGAGCTCAAACAATCCTCCCGCCTTGGCCTCCAAGAATGCTAGGATTACAAGAGTGAGCCACTGTGCCTGGCCACATTCCTCAATTTTTTATATGTTGTGTTTCCTTTGTCATTCATTCCTAAATATATAGCAATTTAATTATTTTCTCTTTAACTAAAGAATAATTTTTAAATGCTTTGATTTTGCTATTGTTGTGTATTATATGTGTGTGTATGCATTTTAATTTTTCTTTATAAACTGTCTCCCTTCACCATTAGTTAGCCAGTTCTTAGAGATAACAAAGGGCCCAGCCAGGAACATGCCTTTCACATGTCAACTAACCCCCATGTACCCTAGCAGGCGATATTTCTCTGCCTTACTTAACCCAGGGCCTGGTACTAGACAACTGGAGACCACCCTTGTAGTCCAGAGCCTGCTTGAATTATTCAATAGCCAATCCTAGACTTCTCAGGCTTCCCTACACTACCTTTTAGCATCTTAGCCCATGTGGGCTGCTATCACAAAATACCATAAACTGGGTGGCTTAAAACAAACTGAAATGTATTTCTCAAAGTTCTGGAGGCAATGAAGTCCAAAATCAAGGAGCCACCACACTCAGTGTCTGGTGAGGGCCTGCTTTCTGGTTTGTCAATGGTACCTGTAGCTGTGTACCTGTGTACCTGTAGCTGTGTTCATCTCCTTATAAGGGTACTAATCCCATCCATACAGACTCCATGCCCATGACCTAATCACCACCCAAATGCCTCACCTCATAATACCATCACTTTTGGGATTAGGTTTCAACATATGAATTTTGGAAAAACACAAACATTCAGACCATGGTACATGGAAACCACAATGAAACTTCATCCTAATGCTTTTCCCTGGCCTGAGTGACCCTCCTTTGCATGCTGTGCCTTCTGTCTGCAGGACTTGTGAGTGTAATATTGAACTTTGTTTTCCTGGGCCTCTTCTCTGTCTCCTCTTGAGGCCCTGATTGAATGACCATCTCATTAAAAAATACAAAACATAGTGGTTTTAGTCACAAGGTATCGTTTTCTGAAGAGCATTTTTTTTTGGTGCATAGATTTCTAACTATATTGTATTATATTCAGAGAGTGTGAACTTTAAACTACAATTTTGTTAGCATTTGTTAGGATTATCCTGTGACTGCAAACAAGACTGGTAGTGTTTTTTTCATGAGTCCATTAATTTTTAATTATTAATGGCTCCTTTCAAATATTCTGTATGGTATTTTTAAAATATTTGTTTAAATTCTGATGCAGATATAGCTTTAAAAATGACTATTTTCTTTCAGAGTTTTCCTGTAGTTCTATTTTTCTTTGGAGATAGATATAGAATTTTAATCATAAAATAATGATTGATATTTTAGAGAAATTTTATCTTAAATATATCTTATCAGATATTAATATTATTACACCAACTTTCTTTTGGTTAAAATTTGTCTGAAATATACTCTTTCCTCTTTAACTTTAAGACTTTCTGTTTCATTAACTTGTAGAAATCTCTCATAAATAGTATAAAGCTGGAACTTGTCACTCATAAATTTAACTAAGAATCTCTCTCAGCAGGTATACTTAAACAAGTTTTTGTTCTCTGATTTATTTGTTTGAAAGGTATGTATTTTGTTTTTATTATTTTAATAGTTAACTTTAATTTTTTTACACATACTAATCGCTTTTAAATTCAAATATCAAGTCAATCAAGGCAACCTTTGTTAATATTTGCTACCAATGCTAACTTCATAAAAATAACTTTGAAGCTTCTATTTATGTTGTAGAGTAGCTTAAGTGTTATTAAAGTATTTTAGTATGTAAATATTTTCAGAATTTCCCACTATGAAATTGTCTATTTATACTGCTTTCCAAAAGTGAGAAATAGGTCATTGACAACTAGCTTGTTACTTCTTTAATAATTGGTCTATTAAGATTTTTCAAATATTTTGCAGAAAATTTGTTAAATTTTATTTTTCTTTGTTATAATCCCTTTTATCCATATTTCAAGCTATTTCTATATAATAGAGAAAAATGTCATGATGTTTTAAAAATTACTCTGCAACTATGATTATTTGACCCTTATAATTTATTTGGTATATTTGTGTTTTCCTTCTTAATCATTTGAACTATTCATATTTATAGATTATTTTTAATTGTTAGAGCGCTGGTTCTTTTCTTGTATCTCTGACTCTTCCTTTTCCATGGTTGCTCTTTCACTGTTGTATTTTTTCATTGTGAACTCATGTCCAATGGACTTATTTCATATTTCATGAGAATCTTGTGAGTGAACCTATAGAGCATATCTGTGTTGTTTTGAAGATCTCCTGTGGATTTCAAAGGTCCTTTGCTATTTTCATGTTATTTTCTTGGTTAGGATTTCTAGCACCAAATATAACCAGTAAATTCAAATCCCATAATCTAGAGTGTCTCAGGCCTGGAATTCAGATTTGTCAAGGGTGACTGATTTCTTTTTTAATCCATCAAAGGTCCAAAACATAGTCAAAATTTAGCACTTCATCCATAATTTTGTATTATTAGAAGCATTTTGCCAGTATCTATATTTGGGGAGACGTAATGCTTTAACATTTAGGAGGTTGGTTCCAGTTTTGCATGCTAAATGGACCCAAAGCCTTTTTGTCTTATTCATGTGAAGGCTATAGAACCCCATGCCCCCAGCCATTCTGGCTTTTAACTGGGACTAACTCCTGTATAGTTAGCCATGGGGGTCAGATGGTCCTTATTATTTCGACTTTGAGTTTTCCCTACATTTCTTTCGCATGTATATTTTGCTTTTTTTTCAAACTTGGATACAAATATACATTCATATATACGAGTACCTTCTATTTAAAATTATTTTAAATCTGAAATTGTGTTTTAATGTTTGTAAAATATTTTACCAGGATGTCTATAAATTTACTGTAGGATTGGGGAAGGGGAGTCAATTGAAATTTGCTCTGCCACACTGCCAGAAGTTTACTCTGCTGACTTTAAAAGAAAGAAAATCAAGGCCAGACTGGCTTAAAACATTCCTAAACAGACATCGCTATTAAACACAGCGTTAGAAGTGAAACACACATTACCGCAATGCCTAGCATGGTTCCTGAGACGTAACAGATTCTCAATAAATGCTTACTGGTCAAATGCCTAAACTTAAAAAAGGAAATGAAAAGTATTTTCTTCCTTTGGCATTGTCATCAATGAAGGAGAGAGTCAGAAGAGCAAGGCACTTCCTTTCTGAACTTCACAGTTGAAAGGTGTTCTCAGGAGGCAGAGATGTCTAGGGGTTTCTGTATTCGAGATTCTGCTACCCGGACGCCCAGAGGAGAAATGATTAACCCTGGATGCTGCCTTCATCAACGCAAAGAGATCTGCAATGCGATGCTGGCATTTTTGGACTGCCGAGTGATTTATCTTTCGAGTCCCTTGCAAATGCTATACATTTCTTTCCCAAATCATCCTCCTGATCCTTCATCTAGCCAGTAGTCACGTTTTGAACAAAGCAAATGTTAACAGAGGACGAGGCAGTCAGCATTTTAATCCAGCTTTAAACACTGGCTGCATTTCAGATGATTTACAAAGAGCTTTGAAGAAGAAAGACCTATTACCTGTATTATTTCAAGAAAGAGAGAAAGAGGGCAAAAAAAAAAAAAAAACCTCTTTAATTCAGTTACACAAAATGTATTAAATTATTCAATAGGGATATCAAATTTTGATTTCTAAAACAAATATTTTGTTTAAAACCTCTGGTTGAAGTTTTAACATTTATAGTACTATTTGAAAATATTGTCCCATTCTCTTAACTTGTCTCAGTGGGTTTGATCTCATCCTCTTACATCAATTCATAGCACAGCATCCAGACTGACACCATCAAAATATAGATCAGATTATGTTCATCCTCTGCTCAACAAGGATGAATAGCTCCTCATCTAAGCAGAATAAGAACCCA